CCTGGACGGGTTCAATATTCCCCCTCCCGAACTCTGAAATAAAGCACACCGCCCGACTATCTACGAGATAACGAAAACAGGTAAATAGACCAACACAGAAAACACACAACACAATGTGCATTTCGTACAGCTGTCATGACCCGACATCCACTTCTGGGGGGGGGCGTTTGATCGAACCCAAGTACGCCTGTACTCAATCGACGACTAATTGGGTGTATGCACAACATTAGCAAATGCATACCCAAAAACGGACGGCAGCACAGACAACACCTTCATGGCACCATTGCATTTCATTTCAGGAGAATACACCGAAACACACGCTGGAGAGAAAGAGGGAGCCGATTTCGATTGAACACCAAGTATCCGAAAAACAACGGCATTAAAGACAGCACCTTTATTACACCTCTGCATTTCATTTACGGCAAAGACACAAAGAAACGAGAGAGAGAGAGAGACAACGAAATCGATGTCGTCATGTAAAAAAGGAAAGTGCATACTGCACTTCATCGATGCCAATTAGAATTCAGAGTTGACGGAATCATCCGTCCCGTCACACGATCGAGGCCAACAACAAACTAAACGAACAACGTTAAAAAAAAAACAATTTTAAAAATGAAAACAAATTTCACTGAAGGACTCATCCACCGAATCGGACCAGCACCCAATTCCTTGGCCAGCACCGCCATTGGGGGAACGGCACATCGACGACGACGGCGATGGCTAAGCTAAGCTACATTAACGACGGAAAGACTATCACTTTCGCTCCGTCCAATTCCATGCAAGGGTACAAAGAGCACAACAAAGGCGACACTAAGTCTAACGTTTGTCGATGGCCTTCGCTATCTCCAGCAAGGCGTGACACATAAGCTTGTTCACTTCGTCTAGCGCTGCGTAGTGCTTTTTCTGCACTTCGATCTTCGCTTCCAGCGCCTCGCACTCACGTATGGCGATGGAGCAATGACTTTTGTTGTTGCTCTCCATCATTGACGCCATTAACGCCCCGTGCTTCTCCATGCACTCCGCCATTGCCTCAAATGTTTGCTGCCTTGTGCTCTTCCTCTTGTCGAAACCGCCTGTGCCACCCGTCGTCTGCGAAGAACCTTTGGTGGACCCGTCGTCTTCGTCGTCGTGCTCTGCACCACCGTCCCCGTCACCCACAGATTCAGGGTCCGCAGAGGAGGCGGATGGCAGACGCACTCCACCCTGAGTGCCGGTGTCCGGGGCGTTCTTCGGGTTTATGGTGTGGTTCTTGGCGGTCGACCCCAGTATCTCGTCGTAAACAGCACGATCCATATTGAAACTGAAGCCCTTCGACATCCTGTTCTTCCCAATTGGAAGAAGTCCTGTTTTCCAGACAGTCCTTGGAAATGATGAACCTTCTTGAACTGCTGCATCAGATTGTCCTACTTCTTTCCGCACCGATCAGCCTCTCTGTCGACGCCCACCTTCTTCAACCTCGTTGCCACATCAAGCGCGTGGCCCATCCCCTGCAAATGCGCATCCTAATCGCGTTTAGCCCGGATGAGGGCTATAATGTCATCGACGGACCAGAAGTGACGACCTCCTTCACCATCGACGTCACCTTCGGCATCGCTGCCCTTGCCTGCCGTCCTTTTGCCCCGACGACCATTACCGCCACACGACTTCGTCTTCCCGCCCCTCCCTCCCATAGCGGCCGCCTGCTTCGACGGCGAAATGTTGCCTGCATCGTCCTCCCAACCTTCAGCGCCGTTGTCGTTCCAGTCGGGGTCGTGCGCGTCTGCCCCTGCTTCCTCGCCGTCGTGCTTGTCTTCCCCAACACGCAATTGCCGCACCCCCTGAGTTATGGACTCCTCCCACACCGACCTCATTAACCGTCGTTGTTCTGCCCACACCTCCCTGCCGTCACGTCCGTCACCAACATCAGCAACAGCAGGCGCCGTCTTCCTACACTCGCCAACACGACAACCTGCACTCGAACCGGCGGACAGGGGAGACGGAGACTGCATCCACTGGGGGCGAGCGGAGGCACCCCTACCGAAAGACGATGACCGAAATTGCTGCCTAGGAGGATCCTTGTTGTTCCCCGGAGCCTCCCGCAGCGGCGCTGGAGACCTGGGTGATCGCTGAACAGCCGTCACGTCGCCGCCATCGTCGTTGGGATGGGGGTTTACGACGACCGTTCTAGAGACGGCTGCTGACCTCCCGCTGCCGAGTCTAAACGACAGATTCACGCCGCCATCGCCATCGGTATCGCTGAGCCCCTGCTGGAGGAGTTCGGTGTACGACTGCCCTTTACCGCCGCGGCGGCTTCCAAACAGCTTTGTAGCCGCCCACTCCTGGGTGGATCCGCTTCCCAGCGGCACGGTCCGTGACTGTCTATCGTCCCTTTCCTCGTCATCCGTGTCAGGCAGAGGTTGCAAGTGCGGTGGCAGGTGCGCGTGCCCGGACCGCTCCGACGGCCTTGGACTATTCGATGGGCTGTGCCCGGACCACCGCCCACCGCGCTCCCCTGCGGACCCGCTGATCGCCTTTCGGCCCTCCACTCTGTCGTTGTTCTTCACACACCTCCTTCTGCGACCACATTGCGGAAGGCCGCCGAGGATGCACACGTGGAAGACAACCAGGAGGAGGAGCAATAGGACGACCAGCAGCAGCACTGACAGCCTCCGAAAGACGTCGGCCATGAAAAGCACGTGGATGACGGTGGCAGCTAGTAGACAACGGGGGATCTATCACGTAACGGTGACGGACAGTGCTGCAAACGTCTGACCGCAACAAGCGACAAAAGCACCGCAACGCATTCCGTTTGTGAACACAATGCGCAATCGCCCGACCGGGGGACGGTTCAAATATTCGAATATTGCGACCGTTGGGCGCCTTCTCGCTCGGGGACAAGGGCGGTGCCGCAAGAAAGCCGCTTTTCGACGTCGGGGAAGCGATCGGGCCGCAAAAGGGGACCGTTGGCGCACTCTTCCATTACGCCGACCGTTGCCGATCGAAGATGTCCGTCCACGGGCTCCAGGAACAACAGTGGTACGGACAGCCATCGCAAAATGTCGTCGACAGAGCTGCCAACGATGTCCCGATTCTTTCGGATGCTCGACCTCCGAGGGACCTCGGGAGGTCCCTTGGGGAACGCGTCGAAATGGCTGTGGCCCAAGGAATCCTCGAGGAATCCCCGAGGAAATGTTTTCACATTTTTTTTTCAATTTCTTCCCCAAGGATAAGTGGAACGATCATTTCCTCGGGGGATTTACGCGCCCGAGGAGTGTGGAACGAGCCCCTATATCATCAACTCCATAACCGGAGGATGCATGTTCGTTTTGAAGGGTGTGTAGAATACCCACGTAGTTCGTAGTTCGTAGGGTGTAGTGGGTGTGTAGTTCGTGGGGTGCAGTGGGTGTGTAGAACACGTCGTTCGTAGGGTGCAGTGGGTATGCAGAACACAGCTACCCCATATATAATGGGGAACCACACCATGCATCTCTCCAATCGTAAAATAGCGCCAAGTTAGCAGCAGGCATAACACAACATGGGTTGAGAGAAGAAGAATTTTGATTATGTCATCAACTCCATAACCGGACGATGCATGTTAGTTTTGAAGACTTAACAAGAGGGAGCAGATTAGAAGTTGGGCTGATGTTAGAGATGGCTGTTGAAGACAGCCATAGGGGGGGTGCACGCACTGAAGCGCGCTTTTCACTGCTTAGCACCCATAGCAGCTCATCAGAGGGACAGCCTCTGGCTCCCATTAGGGGGTTATGTGTAAGTGTTAGTAGTAGTGGAAGGGTTCGAGGTGGAAGGGAGACGATAGGTCTTTTGTGTGTTAGGCAGACACAAGGTGGTAAGAGTATGTAGAATCATACCTGAGTGTGAAGCACTTGTGCAGAGGACGACGTGCCTTCAATGGTTCCCATCGGGTCCTCTAGAGATCAATTGCGGCCACGTTTCACTATTCGTAGCACCGAGGACACGTCGGACCCTCAATTGCGTAGTTAGGAACGCACTGTCTAGTCAGGAGTGTGTCCGGCAAAGCAAATGGGCATGACCACGTTGCTGCGAATCTCAGAGCGTTACGTGCTTTATAGCGTGCGAGCGGGGATTCCGTGAGAGCGACCACGTTGCTGGGAATCTTAGAGCGTTACGTGCTTTCTCGCGTGCGAGCGGGGATTCCGTAAGAGCATAGAATACCAGTGCAGCCTAAAGCACAAATATGCATACCACGAAGTGCTTGTAGAGGTGCTAGTGCAAGTAGGTATATAAGGTTGAGTTCCAGGCGAAGAAGATGTATATAAGAGATGCGAGATAGCCAGGCAACATTCATGCAAACGGTAGATCGTGTATTTCGTAAAATAGAAGGGGGGGCGTAGGTAGTTGTGGGGTGGAGAGGGGTGCATTCATTATGGTCATGGGTATGGTAGCGTATGTCTTTTAGGAAATGGTTTTGTATGTAGCTTTGTTTTAGTAGGAGGTTTTTTTTTTAAAGTAACCTTTTCTATCTCATGCACTATGGCCACGTTTTTTTAGAAAGGATGGAAGTCGACGGCGGTACAAGGGGTCTTATATTGTCATGTCATTTAGTCTGGTTTGTCTTATGTTACAGTGGTTTGCAGGTTGTGGTGTGCGTTCTTAGATCGTAGGATAGGGACATGTGTGGGCACATGTTTTTGGCTGTATTTGATGGTTGTCGTATCGAAGAAATGTTGGCGATAATTTAGTTTGGATGCATCATTTCACGGTTTAGTTTGTCCTATGTTGCAGTGATTTGCAGACTATGGTGTGCGTTTTCAAATCGTTGGATGGAGACATACGTGAACATATGTTTTCGGCGGTATTTGTGTGTGATTTAAAGGTTGTCGTATTAAAAATTGTCGGCGAGAACTTTGTTCGGATGCATTGTTTCAGTTGGGTGGGTTGGGTGGCGGCCAGGTGAACGAGACAAACTCTCAATATGTTGTATTGGTGTATCAGCTTAAGGATTGATGTTTTGTTTATGTATTTAATTTTGTATCTCGTAACTTGTTATATGAGGAAATATGTTTTTTCATATATTATGTTTCATTTTATTATTGAAATTATGAAATATATGACTAAGGTGTTGCTTAAGAATGTGTCTGGTTAGTTCCGTAGTATTTTTCTGGCCGGGGAAAAAAAATCGAATTATCCTGCGTAGCATTTTGTTTCTGTTCGGAGACGTTCGGAACCGAACGGGGACAGGTGTCTTAACCCACCGAACGCAAACGAATTTTTTTTTTTTTTTTTTTTTTATATAGGGGTGATGGGGGTGAAGGGGGGGTGGTTTGTCTGTCTGTCTGTCTTTATGTGTGTCTGTGTGTATGTCTGTCTGCCTATCTGTCTTGCTGTCTGTCTTTCTGTATGTGTGTCTGTCTGTCTTTCTGCCTGTCTGTCTGTCTGTCTATCAGTCATCCGTTCTCCCTCTCCCTCTCATCCGTTCCTGGGCGCCAATAGCGCTAGGTTCGGCGGTCGTTGGCAGCTGCCACCCGTTTTTGGAGACGAACGGGTGCAGTTGCGCACTACTACAACAAACGGGGGGGGGGACTAAAGAAGAACAATAAAAAGAATACAAAATCTAAAAGAAAATCTAAAAATCTTAAAAAAAAAAAAAAAAAAAAAAAAAAAAAAAAAAAAAAAAA